CAAACCAACTGTAAAAATATTTATAAGGCAAGTGGGAAATTTGTACTCTGCCTGGATATTTGATGATACTTAGATAGTATTATTATTATGAAGTATGATAACGGTATTACAATAATGTTGGGGAGGGGAAATCCTTATCTTTTAGGTAAACATACTGATATACTTATGGATGAAGTGATATGAAATCCGGGATTTTTATGGGTAAATAATCCATTGGGGGTGCAAAGTGGTTGAAAATAAAAATAAAAGTCATAAGTTAATGACTATTGAAGTTGGGGAATGGATGCATGGGAGTACATTTCAATATTTTCTCTACTTTTGTCTTTGAAATTTTTATAATAAAATATACAACAATAATTAATATAACAATATTATCTATAATAAATAAAAACATCCTTCAGATATATCTTCAGGTCTCACTCAAAAGGCATCTTCACTCATGAATGAGCAAGCAACAATCAATCCATGTGCATGCTGATGCCTACACAAGCAGCACTCAGCTCACTGGGCATTGCATGTTATCTGTCTTATAATCAATCAGCTGATCTGTGTCAATGAGACTTGTCTTACAATTTCAACATATGTCTTCTATATTATTCAACCATTATAGTGTGCTTACACACAATAATCAAATATTTTAATCTTCATATTATTAAGAAAAGCGGCATCTTTTCTTTGAAACCTTTCTTTTTTACCTTAATTTTTAAAAATATATTTTTATTGATTTCAGAGAGGAAGAGAGAGGGAGAGAGAGATAGGAACATCAATGATGACAGACAATCATCAATCTGCTGCCTCCTGCACGCCCCACACTAAGAATCGAGCCTGCAACCCGGGCATGTGCCCTGACTAGGAATAGAACCTTGTCCTCTTGGTTCATAGGTCTACGTTCAACCACTGAACTATGCCAGCTGGGCTACCTTAATTTTTTATTATGAAAAAATTTAAGTATATACAAAAACAGAGAGAAGATTATAAAGAACTCCTTTATTACTAATCACCCAGATTTAGTAATTATCAATGTTTTGAAGCACTTGTCATATTTGTTTTTTGAAGTAGAACTGTGTTAATGAAAAGCTTATACTGTTTTTCATTTCACTCGCAAACTCTAAAAAATATCAATATTATCTTACATTGACCTGATTGCTATTATCACACCTTAAAAAATTAACAATAATTCCTTGGTGTCCTCTATATTCAGTCCATATTCAAATTTCCAAAAAAATCTCTTAAAAATTTCTTCTTGTAACTAGTTTGTTCTAATCCAATTTTATACAAGATCTCCACATTGTATTTCGTTATTATGTCTCTCCAGTCTTTTTAATTAAAGATATTTTTTAATTATTTATTTTAAAAATTAAATTTATTGGAGTGACATTGGCTAATAAGATCATATAGGTTTCAAGTGTACATTTCTATGATTCATCATCTGTATATAGCACTGTGTGCCCACCACCCAAAGTCAAATAATCTTCCATCACCATATATTAGGCCTCCTTTACCCATTACTGCCTCTCACTCCCTTCCCTCTGATAATCACCATACAGTTGTCGGTATCTATGAGTTTCAGCTTTATGTCCCACACATGAGTGAAAGTATATTGTTCTTAGCTTTTTCTTACTTATTTCATTTAGCATAATATTCTCAAGATCAATACATGTCACAAATGGTAGTATTTCATCTTTTTAAAAAATGATTTCAGAGAGGAAGGGAGAGGGAGAGAGAGATAGAAACATCAATGATGAGTGAGAATCATTGATCGGTTGCCTCCTGCATGTCCCCAATGGAGATCAAGCCTGCAACCCGGGCATGGGCCCTGACTGGGAATTGAACCATGACCTCTTGGTTCATAGGTTGACACTCAAACACTGAGACACACCGGCTGGGCAGTATTTCATCTTTTCTTATGGCTGGGTAGTATCCTATAGTATAAATTTACCACATCTTCTTAATCCAATCCTCTATCAAAGGACACTTCAGTTGTCTCCATGACTTGGTCACTGTGAACAATGCTGCAATGAACATAGAGGTATACATATCTTTGTGAATAAATGTGGGCTTTTTCATTTGTTTGTTTTTCTTAGTTTTCCGGGTAGATATCCGGAAGAGATATTGCTGAGTTATATGGTAACTCTTAATTATTAATTTTTTGAGGATCTGCCATGTTGTTTTCCATAGTGGCTGTACCAGTTTAAATTCCCATCAGCAGTGAATCAGGGTTCCTTGTTCTCTATAACTTCTCCAACACTTACTACCCGTCTTGTTGATAATGGCCATTCTAACAGTGTGAGGTGGTATCTCATTATAGTTTTTATTTGCATGTCCCTAATAGCTAGTGAAGTTGAGCATCTTTTCATTTATTTGTTGGTCAATGGAGATGGTCCATTCCAGGTATCTTTTAGTGGATAATTTAAAATTAATAACAAAACCTTGATTGGCTGCCTCCTGCACGCCCCCTCCTGGGGATTGAATCTGAAATCTGGGCATGTGCCCTTGACTGGAATCGAACCTAGGACCCTTCAATCCGCAGGCCGATGCTCTATCCACTGAGCCAAACTGGTTAGGGCCGTTGTGTGTGTTGTAGTTGTTTTGTTGGGGCGGGGGGGGGGCGTTGCATTGAATTTTATAAGTTCCTTATAAATTTTGAATATTAATCCCTTATCTATTTGCAAATATCTCCCATTCAGTTGGTTGTCTTTTTGCTTGGTTGGTGGCTTCTTTTGCTGTGCAGAAGCTCTTTAGTCTGATATAGTCCCATTCATTTATTTTTGCCTTTACTTCCTTTGCCTTTGAGGTCAAATTCATAAAATGTTCTCTAAGACCAAGGTCCATAATTTTAGTACATATGTTTTCTTCTATGTAATTTATTGTAAATCCTTTCCTGACCACTCATTTTATTATTTGCACTCCACCTGAACTCCACACGTATAACAGGGAACCCATAACACACTCTTGTGCTTATTCATTCATTTATATTTAATGAGATCAATGTCTAGCACATGAAACCTATTCAGTAAATAATTGTGTTTAATGTTATTGTTATAATCAGAGTCCTTTCTATCTATTATACTATAAGACCAGTGATCATATCTTGGTTGTTTTTGCATATCTCAATATCTGGTACATTTCACCTCCTCAATAAACATCTATTACATGAATGAGTAAATAAATAAAATGTGGGATTACTCCATTCATAGACCATATTAAGTTCAGCAAAAACATTCATAAGACTGAGGAATATAAACTAACTCATGCCTTACAATTTACTCAGTGCTCCATGACTCATTTGATCAGAAATATAATATGTTCTTAAATTTAGTGTCCATTTAACACAGTACTTTGAGTCCCAATGGCAGAGAAAAGTCAAATACCTTTTTTATTGTTGACAAGCAATACAATGTCCTCAATAACCATCTTTTACCTTCTTTCCTGAGCCTCTACCAACTGCAAACACATATTGAGAGGAGAGGGGAGTCAGGAACAGAACAAAGACTGGAGTGAGACTGAGGTTAGTGATAGAGTCCCAGAACCAGTGAATGGCTATTTTACACAATACTTTGTAATATTCTTACAAGCTGAAACCATTTAATGACTTATTTTACAAGCTGTGTCAAAGTATTCCTGGCATCAAAATTACTTGATTTAAACATGTACCCATTTGATCTCCACAATAACATTGTGAGGGTAAACAGAGCCTGCCATCTCTGTTTTAAAGAAGAGGATACAGGAAATTTACTCTTACCTCAGCTGGGATTATAAATTGTGATTTAAAGTTTTTAAATGCAATATACTGAGATAATAATGCTATGTTATCCCAGCCAAGAAACGAATATTTGTTTTAAAGTAACTGTTAGATTAAAAGTACTCTTTAGATTCTTAAAGGAAATATTTGAGTGACTTCCAAACTCAAAAACCTCCAGAAGGAGGGGAATGTGTTTGTCAGCTTGTTTGTTTGTTTGTTTTTAGGTACTTGAATGACTAGCTTGCTCCTTGAAAAGCAGGGGTACAGAAATAAAAGGCCCGATTGTGCTGAATCCTTCTCTTTTGTCATTATTCAGGCTGGTTCCCAGCATGCTGCAGTCCAAAGGAAAGGGTCCAAGCACTGTTTAAAAATCTGAGACTATAGAGCTTACTCAGCACTCTGCTCACATTAGTATTGCTTGCTTTCATCTTTAAAAGTCTTTTATTATACAGTAACCTTAGGTGGCTGGGAATATTCTCAGACTATAGGAAGCACCTCCTTGACCTAATTATGATGAAAAATGCCCCTCTCTTCAAAGCCCCCTGAAACAAGCCCCCTGGAACAATCAGGTTTTTAAGCATTATTGAGTGCTGGGGAAGAATTTTACAGAAGTGCAGCTTTTTGGTGGTGATGGTGATGGTGAAGGGGCAGCTGACCCTTTTGGTGAGAATGGGAAATTTTAGACTAAAACTGACCCTTGCTGTTCACCTACCCAGAACTGATGGAGACATTCACTCTTAGGGGAAGAGGCAATTTTATTTTTAGTTCTGTTTCAGCATCTAGGAGTGAGAGTGTGTTGCAGCAATCTAGTTGAAAGAATGTTTCTTGAATTTCCCAATTAAAAAGACCCCATAGAGCTGAGACAAAAAGAGCACCAAGGGATGCTTGATATGTCAACCCAATTACAAAAGGCAGGCTTTTCTAAGGATTGTATCTATCTTTTAACACAAGGTGGAATGGAAAAAGGGGGATTTTGGAGCAGATATCCCAGAATAATCCCAAAGCAGAACCCTTCACACAGATTATCTAGCTTTTCTTGACAGGTGCACGGGCAGAGGAGGCATTTGGTCCTCGAGGCAGTGTTTACTCGGGGAATTAGGATAATGGTGTCCAAGCTTACGGCAATCGAGGTGACCCTGAGCGCAGGAGCAGCCCAAGGACTGCGGCACAGAAAATACGCTAACCGATCTGTCACCCTTCCCCCCTTCCTTTCCCAGGGGATTGGAGTAGCGTTGGAGTCGCTGACGCCATCCTTTCCCGCCTCCGGCTTGCAGGGAGCATGCGCTTCCTTCCTCACTTGGTCTCAAGGAGAGTAAGGCTACGCCCTAGCGGCTCCGCGGCGGGCCCCGCGTCACAGGAACTTCAGCACCCACGGGGCGGACAGCGCTCTCCTCCACCTGCAGACCTGACTCCCGAGCGCCCAGAACCCTTCCTATAGTCTCTTTACTCGCTGCGGCGGCGAGCCCCACCCCCCGCTGGGTTCCCACCACTCTTCCTCCCTGCACCCGCCCTCCTAGCTCTTCCTGTTTTTACTCCTCTTTTTCATTCATAACAAAAGCCACCGCTCCGGGAGCCGGCGCCAGGCTGTTTCTGAGCCAAGAGTGGAAGAATGGGGTTCCTTTGGACCGGCACTTGGATTCTGGTGTTAGTGGTCCACAGCAGCCCAGTTCAAGCTTTCCCCAAACCGGAAGGCAGCCAAGGTACGTGGACACTTTCCTCCCACTTCCTTCTATTCGCCACGAAGAGGTAAAGCGTGGCATAATAGGTGAGCTGCAAATCACCTTGCCTCATTTTCTGATCAGATCGTATCTGTGCGTATTGACAGAGAAAATCCTTTTGAATTTAGAGACAGATCCCTCCTCACTTTTTATATGATAGAGCAATAACCTGGATTGTTTTGAAAGATTTTATTTTGCAATTGGGAGAGGGTTTTTTTTTATGCTTTATAAAGTGGCTTGGGTTGTTAGGTATTGTTTTCTAGTTGTCTTACAATCTTCCTCAGACACTCGATTCAGAACAAGGTTGGGGGAGAGGGAGTCCTTAATGTGCTAATAATACCAATCTAACTTATCTGTCTAATTGAAAACAGCTGGTAAGACAAGTGTTAGAACTATATGTGAGTTTCTGGTAAAAACAAAAACAAAACACAAGTGTAGTTCTATTAACTCAGGAAATACAGCAGGATAATAAGCTAGGCAACATGATGGTCATTGTTATTGTATAATCTTAGATAATCTTTGTTAACATATATTTTTGTTTCATGGTTATCCAAAATATGTCTCCTAATATTGGTTTGTCTTTATGAAGATTTTATTTTAAAGAGACATATTGTGTCTGTCCAAAACACAATTAAACTTATATTTTTGTGTTTATTCTAGACAAACTTGTACATAATAGAGAATTAAGTGCAGAAAGACCTTTAAATGAGCAGGTAGGTAAAAAACTAAAATAAAAAATTCTATTTCAATTTATTTTAGTTGTTATAATTTAATGTAATTATGTTATGACATTTTAGCCATTTTGAATTCACAAACTTCAGGGGATTAGTAATAAATTGACATAAACTAGGATGGGAAATATAATTTTGGTAATATCTGTATAAAACATAGAGTTGACTATATAATAATCCAGTAAGGTCCACTCTATTGTAAGATTGCTTAATTTATCAGAGATTTACTTTTCATCAATAATGTAGGAGAAGGGGATTAATACCTATAGATCATCCGCCTTTTATTTTATCTCACTTACTCCTTATGATGATGCTTTGAGATAGAAATTACCTATATTTTACAAACAAGAAAACTAAATCCTATGGAGATTAAATTATTTAGCTGTCATTTTTGGTAAGAGGTGGAGCAATGATTTAAAACCAGGTCTATACCCTCTTTGTTTCACAGATTGCTGAAGCAGAATCAGACAAGATTAAAAACATATACTCTCCAGGTAAAAAGAAACTATTTTGATGTTAATTTGAGTGATGTAGGCTCTGAGAATCTTAAATAAAATGGATAATTGGAGTTTGGGGCTTTGCTTACAGAAAACAAGCCAGGCGAAAGCAATTATTCCTTTGTTGATAACTTGAACCTGCTAAAGGCAATAACAGAAAAGGAAAAAATTGAGAAAGAAAGACAATCTGTAAGAAACTCTCCATATGATAATAAATTGAATATGGAAGATGTTGACTCAACCAAAAATCGAAGACTAATAGATGATTATGATTCTACTAAGAGTGGACTGGATCATAAATTTCAAGGTAAATGAGGGGGAGGGGGGAAATGTTGCTACCTATGTTCTCTAATTTGGACTTCTCATTGTGGGTTAGGAGAAAGTCCTATATTTTTTTAAAAAAATATCGCTTATATTCTTACAATCCTCTATTAATCAGGTCCAAAGTTGAGATAAAGCCCAAATTTACTGGCAATGTACAAAGCCTAGCTCCACAGAAGCCCAGATTTTATTTGTTCTTTAAAGGCCCCTTTACTGCTACTTTGAAAATATTTAAATCTACTGTCTATGTTTTATGCTATTTAACATTTAGCATTTAACATTTTAACTATTAGTACCAACAAAATATCATAATTACCAAATAATTAAATCAACAATATCCCTTTCCCAATGGTGAAATACCCCTTACTCCCTTTGCAAGCTTCTCTCTCTAGCCATAGCCTTCCTCCCTAGGTCATGCTAACCTTTTCATGGCTTCCCCTTCAGTTACCGTCTGTGTCCTGACATCACATATCACTAGACAAGACTTTCCTGAGCTATGGGTAGATAGATACATACATTATAATACATATATAGATACACATATCTCTATATATCTATATCTATATCTACCTACTTAATATCTTGCTTTAAAAGTCTCAGAAGCACCTCAAACTTAGCATGGCCAAGATTACTCTCATAATATCTGTACACCTTACAACCTAGCCCTCTTAGAGTGCTCTTTCTCTAAGAAAGGCACTACTTCCCATGCAATTTTTCAAGACAGAAATCTAGAAATCAAACTACTCTTTTTCCTGGCTCCTCCAATTGTAATCCACCAATCTTATCAATTTCACCTCCTGTGTCTGTCAATTTTTTTTCTCTGTTTCTAATCACCAATCTCTAATCATGTCTCACTTCAACGCAGCAAACTCTTCTACTGGATCTTCCAGCATCCACTCTGCCCCTCTCCAACTCATTTTTCACGTAGCAGCCAGAGTGATCTTTTCTTTTTTTAAATTAAATCTTGGATCTTCCAGCATCCACTCTGCCCCTCTCCAAATCATTTTTCACATAGCAGCCAGAGTGATCTTTTTTTTTTTAAATAATCTTTATTGTTCAGATTATTACATTTGTTCCTCTTTTTTCCCCCCATAACTCCCCTCCTCCCAGTCCCGGCCCCACCATCCGCCCTCTCTTCCCCCCCACTGTCCTCATCCATAGGTGCACGATTTTTGTCCAGTCTCTTCCCGCATCTCCCCCACTCCTTTACCCCTCAAGAATAGTCAGTCCATTCCCTTTCTATGTCCCTGATTCTATTATGATCACCAGATTATTTATTCACTTGATTCTTAGATTCACTTGTTGATAGATGCATATTTGTCGTTCATAATTTGTATCTTTACCTTTTTCTTCTTCCTCTTCTTAAAGGATACCTTTCAGCATTTCATATAATACTGGTTTGGTGGTGATGAATTCCTTTAGCTTTTCCTTATCTGTGAAGCTCTTTATCTGACCTTCAGTTCTGAATGATAGCTTTGCTGGATAAAGTAATCTTGGTTGTAGGTTCTTGCTATTCATCACTTTGAATCTTTCTTGCCATTCCCTTCTGGCCTGCAAAGTTTCTGTTGAGAAATCAGCTGACAGTCGTATGGGTGCTCCCTTGTAGGTAACTGAGTTTCTTTCTCTTGCTGCTCTTAAGAGTCTCTCTTTGTCTTTTGCTCTTGGCATTTTAATTATGATGTGTCTTGGTGTGGTCCTCTTTGGATTCCTTTTGTTTGGGGTTCTCCGTGCTTCCTGGACTTGTAAGTCTATTTCTTTCACCAGGTAGGGGAAGTTTTCTGTCATTATTTCTTCAAATAGGTTTTCAAGATCTTGCTCTCTCTCATCTTCTGGCACCCCTATAATTCAGATGTTGGTACGCTTGAAGCTGTCCCAGAGGCTCCTTACACTATCTTCGTATTTTCAGATTCTTTTTTCATTTTGCTTTTCCGGTTGGGTGTTTTTTGCTTCCTCGCATTTCAAATCTTTGCCTTGATTCTTGTGCTCCTCTGGTCTGCTGTTGGGAGTCTGTATAATATTCGTTATTTCAGTCCGTGTATGCTTAATTTCTAGTTGGTTCTTTATCATAACATCAAGGGTCTCATTAGATTTGTTGAGGATCTCAATAACTTTATCGGCAGCATCTAGACAGTTCTTGAGAGACCTTAAAAGTGTGGTTCTGAACTGAATATCCTCCATTGACAGCTTTGTCTTGTTTCTTTGTCTCCGCATTTTTTATGCTTTCTTGGTGCACCCCCTAGTGGTCTTTGTGTGCAGTCTCATTGTAGTTAAGCCTTGTCTGTTGTAGTTAATACTAGGGGGATTTCCAGAGTGATCTTTTCAACACACAAACATGTTACTCTTTTGCATAAAACCCATTAATAGATTCCCATTTCCCTTGGGATAAAAACCAGAATCCTTAACATGGCTTCTGTAGTCCTGCACGGACTGGTTCCTGTCTACTTTTCTAGATTCATCAAGCACACATAATCTGATAAAAAAAAAAAAAATCTTGTTCCTTTCTTCATGGCACTTAATGCAGTTTGCAATTTTACATTCCTAAGTGTGACTACTTAGGATTTATCTTTTTCTCCTAAACTAAACTGAAAACTTCACAAGAACAGAGACATTGTAGCCCCAGTATCTGGGTGGTCATGAATTCATTGCATGCATTCATAAATGAATGAATGAATAAGAAAAGAATACATGAGAGAATAAATGAGCTACGTACCTAGGCACTAAAGTAGAGAGTGTGTTTTCCATCCTGAATACTATTACTTAGGAGGGACTGCAGATTGTCTTATATGTCCTTGCTCTGCTCCATGGCCACAAGAGAATTATGCTGATTACTTCTGCCAGAAAATAACTGCCAACTTTTATAAGATATCACAGCCTGAGGAGATTTCAGATATATGTTGTGCATGTAATAAGGTGGGACAGATGATTTATATTTTGACACATTTTATATTGCATACTACTCCCAGAATGTTTTTTCTTGAATTCTACGTTTTAACCTAAAATATTTTGGCTAGAAATAGACACTGGGCATTGCTGTATATAAAAGAGATTAAACTACTTTGAACTGACGTTTTATTTAATGAAATTTAAAAACAGTCTAATGTTTGAATTTTTTGGTCAAACCGATTGTGCATTCAGGCAGAGGCACAGATCTGTTTGTGATCTGATCACTACCTTGAGCAACTTATTTTTAAATTGTTCAACATTTTACTACCATCCCAGATGGGTTCCGAATTACCAAGTGTCCTGATGGCTCTAGGTTTCCCTTAAGAGTCATTTTAAATCCACTTAAGATTACAGATATGATTCTTGGAGAGAAATGATTTATGAGTGAATTTCTGGTCTCCTCTTATACCCTGGAAATCCTGGAAACAGCATTTGATAGCACCAAGGTGACTAGAACTCAGAGGCACGCAGACTTACACCCCAGAATGGGGGGAGGGACTTAACTTTTGCGGGGTGCTTTCACATCTTTAGGAAACCTCCAAATGGGCTTGTGATATAAGGCCTATCAACTCTCCTTTTCAGTGTGTTCTGCAGCATGGGTGATTCAGGATTTTTTCCAAGTTTCTTTTATGAAGTTGTGCTTCCAGGCTCCTGTGTGCATTCACCAGACAAATGTTCATTGAGCAATTACTATGTATCAGACTGTGAACTAGAGCAGCGATTTTCAACCTTTTTCATCTCCTGGCACACATAAACTAATTACTAAAATTCTGCAGCACACCAAAAAAATATATTTTTTGCTGATCTGACAAAAAATGTAGGTAGAGTTTTAATTCATTCACTAGATGGCTAATGTTGTATTGGCTATTGACATTTTTTAAAATATATTTTTATCGATTTCAGAGAGGAAAGGAGAGAGAGAGAAACATCAATGATGAGAATCATTGATCAGTTGCCTCCTGCATGCCCCCCACCGAGGATCGAGCCCACAACCTGGGCATGTGCCCCTGACCGGAATTGAACCTGGGACCCTTCAGTCCGCAGGCCGATGCTCTATTCACTGAGACAAACCAGCTAGGGATATTGTCATTTTTTTAATTTGACACTCTAAGGGAGAAGAGGTCAGTGCCCCTGACTAAATAATCAGGAATGGCATGTGTTTAAAAAAATTCTTGTGGCACACAGGTTGAAAACCACTGAACTAGACAATAAGCTCTGTGCAGTTAGGGACCAAGCCTAAACTCTTTGTCACTCTATTTTCAGTTCTGGCTTATATTAAGACTTTCATAAAAAGGTATTGAGCAAATGAATGTCAAGTGCCATATTAGATGCTGGAGATTCAAAACATCACTTGGCAAAACTTAACCAGGCAGAACATGGCCCTTTTACATTCACTTCTTCGAATGTTATAGCTGCTTTTAAAATGTTATACATGTTGAACTCATGTTTGGCTTCCTCTTGATGGTCTACAGAGGAGGGTGAAATACCCCTTCACGAGCATCAGAGAAGTCATTCTGAGTAATTCCGCCCATTTTAGAGGAGCCAGGGGAAATCATTGGAAGGTAAGGAGCAAGGCCCGAGGGTTGTTATTGACCCCATCCAGCGAAGCTCTGCTAAGGGAGGCCTAAGTTCCTGGTTCAAGGCCATACAGCAGTGCAGCAGAGGAAAGAGGCCATTTCTTGAGTGTTGCTAATGTTCTCCCTGTTGTGAATTAAATGTACTGAAAAGCTGTCATCTCAGTTATTTATTTCCCTTCCCATTTATCCCTTGGGGTATGAAAAAAGGAAGACTATTTGTACCTCCAGCAGGCAACCAATAGTCTTCCTTTTTCAGATCCTGACAGTAAGTGGGAAGGGAAATAAATTCTTCTAATTCTGCATAGACCCAGGCAGTTTCTGTTCCATCTATTCCCAACAGTCTGTAACCCCCAAATGGGGGGGGAAAATCAAACCGAACTGAGAGTGGGTCTCTACTCCTGAAAAAAACAAAACACCCAGATGATGAATCCAATTTTCAGTCAGCCAGGAGAGGAACTGATTTTACAGAATGTTTGTATTCATTAGTCACTCTAGTTCACAGGGTTCAAAGGGATCAGAGTTCATGGGTTGGTTGACAGCTTATAACCCCAATATAATGCCAGAAAACATCCAGTCCTCTTGGCATAATCACCCCATTTATTTTCCTTGGCTTCTTTCCAAACAACAAGAAAATAGTCAGCTGAGGCTGCATAGACTTCCATCTCCACAGAATCGGAAAGACCATGGACAACATTTCTTGTTCGAATCCCCAGAAGCCATGGAAGGAAGAGGCAGAATCCGAATAGCAATACTAGGTTCTTCCTTCTTTAAGGGAATATGGTCAGAATTATTTGGGCAGAATTTGGCCAGGGATTCAATGTTTATTTTCTCTAGAAGATCATTGCAATTCCTTTATTTCAAGTACAAATCCATTGTCTGCTACAATAGCACTATATTAACTTTCATATAATACTTTGCAATTGAAAATGTGCTTTTACATCTTATTCCACCTTATCCTCACAATCCCATGAAATAGATACTCTTATTATATTCCTCTAGAACAGCCTAAGGATATATAGGTAACAAGACGTATCACTGGGGCTATAATTCTGATCTTTCCAATCTCCCTAGAGGTGACAAGGGGAGTTAAGTGCCCTGTAGACTGCACATATGAATAGACTGCTCCATGTGATATAGATTGGAAAAGACCAATTGACTCCTGGGAGTTCTCCGAGGACGAGGTACAGTGCTTCCTCGTCACCAACCCTACTGCATCCTTCCTTCCCTGAAGTAATGCTACCAAAGTATTCCCAGAAGAGCCAAGGATACATATTTGTAGTCTTCTCTGCAGGCATTTACATAGATTTACATACTGCCTTGTGCAACTCTGTTGTCACATTTTAAAAGTTTAAATTCCAGGCACATAAATTAAGTTCCCTATTCTCTAGAGAAAGAGGCTTGTCACACTAAGCTGCTTTATATAAAGGCACTCTGGCACATGTTCACATAGAAGTAAACATTTAGGCTCTGGCTGGGTAGCTCAGTTAGTTAGAGCATTGTCCCAATATGCCAAGGTTGTGGGTTTGATCCCTGATCAGGGCACATATAAGAATCAACCAATGAATGCATAAACAAGTGGAACAATAAACCAACGTTCCTCTGTGTGTGTGTCTCTATTCCTCTTCCTCCAAAAAGAAAAAAATCAATAAATTTTAAAAAATTTAAAAAGAAGTAAACATTTATTCCAGGTTAGCCATTAAATCTTGAGTACACCCTCTCTGATTCTAGGTGTGAGGTAGGTTCCCTCCACCCACTTGGTCCATGAATTGGCCTGCAAATGGGGTACATACTACTAATCTACTCTTTACATGGAAATAGAATATCATTATTTGATATATAGAAGGGTGCTTTAAACAATATGGCATACTAGATAAATACAGCATACTTCAAAATTAGAAGTATAATATTATTTGTATTATTAGTGATAATAAAAAATAGAGAGGCCTTTTGTTGTGTTGACTTCAGATTTTTCTGCCTCTTATAATCACATCAGAGGCTTTCAGAATTTTCATTGTCATCCTAGTTTCTTCAAATTTTATTTTCAAACCAAAAGTTTCTGTGGACCAAGCACCACTATAAATATATTCCAAACATATTAAAGTGTACAAGACCAAGGTATAGATTAGAAATCTAATATGATCCAAAAAATAGAACTATGTTTTCACCACGATGTGAAATTGTGATTGCTCTGTCCAGATGATCCAGACGGCCTTCATCAGCTAGACGGAACTCCTTTAACTGCTGAAGACATTGTCCAGAAAATCGCCACCAGGATTTATGAGGAAAATGACAGAGGAGTATTTGACAAGATCGTTTCTAAACTCCTGAATCTGGGCCTAGTGAGTCACATGCATGAAAATAAACCAAATTCTTAATACAGTTTGGAATATGCTAAGAAGCTGAGCCATTTGATTCCAAGAGCCAAATGTTTATAATGTGTCTACTTTATACTAGGAACCACAGGTTTCCAGGACAATAAGGCACCATTCTTTCCCTCTAGAAAAGTATAGTCTATCAGAGGAATTAGACAAGTACACTCACGCATGTGGTGGAAGTTACATAAGAACCGTAAGATCATTGTTTGCCAGAGGGTGAATTATATCCACTTGAGCTATAAGGAAAAGCTTCAGAGGAGGAGGTGCTGGAAGTGAGCTTAGAAGGATGGTTAGGATTTAGCCAGTTTAAGTAACAGACATGTGTGAGGTAAGAAGGAAATAGCATGAACAAAGGCATGCAATATTTAAGAAACTAAGCAATCCAGTTTGACTCTGCCTCAGCTTGGCTCCTAGCCTTACACAGCCCTCGCAGGCTTCAGGGGGGTACTGAATTTGCAGGTTTCAAAGGTTACCTGACCATGACTTACTGCTGAGGGCTGAGAAACAATCCTCGAGATGTGTCTCAAAGTAAGTGTTCTGTGGGTTCCAACAGACAAGACTGACCACTTGCATGGTGACCCCAAAGACACTTCTTCCCAGGAGTGCTGGTCAATCACGATGAATACCTACATGTATGGAGGCATAAACAAGGGTTGTCTGAAGGGGGGTCAGAAGATTCTCTTGTCTTCTAGAACTCTGTTCAACTACAGAGTTTATTCTAGATGTTTTTTAACCATAAAAATGGGAATAACAGTCACATGTTTTTACTATAACAGATCACAGAAAGCCAGGCTCATACACTGGAAGATGAAGTAGCAGAGGTTTTACAGAAATTAATCTCGAAGGAAGCCAATAGTTATGAAGAGAAGCCCAATAAACCCACAAGCAAGACTGAGAGTCAGAGTGGAAAAATACCAGAGAAAGTGGTATGTATATGTGAATATATATGAGTATGCTGTGTACATGTGTATGTATGCATGTGCGTGGACATGAATGTGTGTGTGTGTGTGTGTGTACTCTAATCTGCATATAATTAATACAATCTGTATATAATTAGTACCTCACTTGGTGTCAAAGAAGATTTTGGGTATGTGATATTTTTAGCCCACCTAAATATTCATGAAATACCAATAACTTAAAAGATATAAATGAACTCTACTTTGAAAATAATTTTGAGATCATGTGATATTATATTACACTAGAGGCCCAGTGCATGAAATTCATGCAGAGGTGGGGGAGTCCCCTCAGCCCAGCTTGCACCCTCTCCAATCAGGGACCCCTCGGAGGATGTCCGTCTCACAATCTGCCCACCCCCACCCCCCTGACCCAGCACATGCTCTCCCCACTCCCTGCCATCCCCCAGCACATGCCCTCACCCCTCTATTGTCTGCATGCATACAAGTCCTTTGGTTGATCTCTTAGGATGAAGTATTCTTGTATTTCACAGTCAAGGGCACAACAGAGGAAAGAATCAAACTGGAGTGGCATTAGTTCTAACAAAATGTTTATTTTTCATTGATTTTTAAAATTCCCACTGGAGATTCCAATGGTGGCAATTCAAGATGGTTTTGCTAATGGAGAAAATGATGAAACAGTATCTAACACCTTAACCTTGACAAATGGCTTAGAAAGGAGAACGAAAACTTACAACGAAGACAACTTTGAGGAACTCCAATATTTTCCAAACTTCTATGCACTCCTGAAAAGTATTGATTCAGGTAAAAACTGTTTTCTGACCATGTGGAACAGAAACAGTAGTTCCAGGAAATGTGTGGGTGGTTCTCTCTTCCTGTTTTCAGTTTCCAAATGTAATCCTCAATGACATATTGTGGCCTTGGGGAAAATAGTTCATATCAATTTTTTCTAAAGAAGTGTACTAGTCATGGTAATATTTACAAAAAGATAATCAGGAAAGGTGGAGTTTCTGGACAATTTAATCTTGTTAACAGAGGGCTCATTTATTTGTTCAACAAACAATTATTGAACATGTGCTGCGTTGATGGTACTGGAGTGAATCTTGTGCAGGTGTGTAGATGAATCAGTGTCCCAGCCTGATGCAGTTCAACCTCAACTCTTATTGCAAATATTTCCATGTTAGTGGGAACTGTGGGTGGAACCTAACTGATTATTTTTAAATGATTCAGAATTTTGCTTGTCAGACAGTTTCAGCTTCAGTCTTCAAATGAGTTACAGTGAAATAAACATTGGGTTAAAGGCGGTCAGGAGCCCAAAACAGACTTGGAAAATGATTTGTTTTTTAAAAACAAAGACCTTAATGTGTCTTGTTCTTTCTCTTATATGTGTACCAAAATAAGTTAACTGAAGATTTTAGTTCATGTTAATTTTTGGTCAATCTGTAAGGAGGATAGTATTGGACAAATTTTCTGTTGTTGTTATTGTCTAGACAGGTGGCTTTTCCCCTTCCTATTCAAAGATTCAGTCCCAAATTGAATATTTGTAATAAATATTTCTGTAATTCTAATAATATTTTCCCAAGAAGTGGGCTTTCATCACTGGAGAACATCCTTTGTCATCCTTTGTCCTTCAATTCCAGACATTGGCCAGATGGCACCAGCTCCTCTGCTGGTGTCTGCAGGGTTGGTAATCTTGAGGGTCTATTCTGAGTCATCTTGCCCAATTGGTTGGCAGATGCCCAGCTCGGATCCTCTGTCATCCTGGTGATTCACCTCTTGTCGGTGAAGAGCATCAGCATGATACCAAAGATTTATATGGCTGTGACCTTATGCAAATAATAGGATGCCTGGAGGTATTTACCCTCCCCTTTACAAGATCTCTCCCCACAACTCTTCTCCTACCTTTCCTTTCTCCCAACCTTGTGACTTTGATGGTATTTTAAATATTCTACTACATGGAATATTCCTTATTTTATTTGCTTTTAATCTTTTAGTTTCTTTTACCCCATTCCATATTGCCTTTATTTTTGTGGGCTTTTAATTTAAATAACTTACATTGAGGTCTTTGATAGTACCTGTCTTTCTCACTCAAGGTCTGAACCAATTGAGAAATGGTAAAGTGGGTAGAAAGCCAAAATATCTCTGATGCTGATAAAGATGGTTGTGCAGTGGAGCTTGGTATTAGAGCCCCAGTGGGCTTGTGTACTCATACTCCTCAGCCTAGCTCTTGAAACAGTCAATCCCAGGGGTAGTCGGAATCAGCAGATCAGGTGCTTTTCTTGGGTCCCTGCCTTCCACTGTTCCAGGGGAATGGAAAGAAGAAAGACTTCCAATCCGCATTGGTAGAGAAATGTACACCAATCTCTATCGGCTATTAACCTCATGTGTGAAAAGAATGAAAAGATGAGGGGGAAAGGGCAAGAAGTACATAAAGAAAATCCTTAATAGCAGCTAAAAGAATTGGAAAAATGAGCTCTCCTCTAGCATCTTAATTTTTCTCTTCTTCAAAATAGAAATAGATTTTTAATGGTTTTAGAATTAATATATCCACTGAACTTTTATGTAATTATTAGCCATTTTGCTATATCAAGATGTAAAACAGTATGTCAAATATGAAGAGTTCCCAAGAAACTCTTACTAGTGGTTACCTATAGGGAGTAGGTGTTGGGAGGGGAAGAGAATGTTACTTTGACTATTGTTTACTTCTGTACTATTGGAATGTTTTTACTGTATACATATATCCTTTCATATGAAAGTTTAGAAAGTAATATATACTACTGTTAAAAATAAACCTTATATTTAAAAATAAAGATATATGTATATTCTTATTTAAAATAGAGGATTAAGCTTGATTAATGAAAACAGGTAGTTCTTGTCCTCAAAACATATAGCCTGAGTAGAGAAAGTTGTTGGGTCACCAACCTTCTAGCTTTCCTTTTGAATTCATATTGTCTCAGGTCATAAACTATTTCTATCACCTACTCCATTAATAAAATATTTTAGATTAAAATAAATCTTTTTGGAGAAGTTAAAATTGTCCACTTCTGGAAAAGTTTAGTATTCCTGCACATTGCCCTGTACTCCCAAGCAAGTCTTAGGCTCTCTGTAAATTAAATATAAGTGGGTTCAGATATAAATGTAGGGAGAAATATTTCAATAAGATGCTGCACTTTTTAAATTGACACTGAAAGGTGTATGCCACTACTTGAAAAAAATTATGTTGTCCTTTCATATAGAAAAAGAGGCAAAAGAGAAAGAAACGCTGATTACTATCATGAAGACACTGATCGACTTTGTGAAGATGATGGTCAAGTATGGCACAATATCTCCAGAAGAAGGTGTTTCCTACCTTGGTGAGAATCCTATCTGATTTGTTTTTACTGTGGTTAGTCTTCGTCATCCAAAAGTGAGTTAAGGATTTGAATTACTTCACTACTCTGATAATTTATGCCAAAATAGTCTGAATTACCTGAGTAACCAGAATTGCCCAGCTTGATAATGCATATTAAAAAAATTAATCAGAAGTTTTAATCAACTTTTAATCTTTATAGATCCAGTTTGAGTACAAACATTTCACATGTGTTGTTATTTTGTCCTGCTAACACAGAGACAATTTTATTAAAATTGAGCTTATTATTTTTTTTCAGTTATATTTGAATGGTCAGTATTAAGAGAGTCTTGACTTTAACCGGTGAGATTTGTGTGTGAATAGGAGGAAAGAACCCTCTTCTAGGGAGCCCTTACAACTGAACTTCTGAGGCCCAGCTGTCTCAGACCAGCTCTGTCATGTGGACAAAGGCAAATGCCTCAGTTTCTACATCTTTTAAATAAAGGACTTTGTTATCTATAACAGGGACCAGTACAGTAAACTACTGCCCATGGACCAAATCTGGCCCATAGCCTATTTTTGTATAGTACACAAGCTAAGGATGACTTTTGCATTTTCAAATGGTTGAAAAAAATCAAAAGAATAGTATTTTGTGACACAATAAAACTATGTAGAATTCAGATTTCAGTGTTTATAGATGAAGTTTTATTGGAACATAGCCATGCACGTTTGTTTTAGTATCTATGTTTTATGATACAATAAAAGAATTGAATAGTTGAGACCATATGGCCCAAAAAGCCAAAAATATTCACTATCTGGCCCTTTAAAGACAAAGCTTGTCAACCCTTGATTCCTGGAACTTTATAAGTAACCTTGGACATTTTTTGATTCTGCATGTAAGTTGTAGTTGCTGTTGTTGTTTGAAGTCTTTTATTTTCCTGCTTGGTTTAGTTAATCAACAAATACCATCTACCCCTGATGTCCTTCGGGCCAGATGACTTCACAACCCTGTTCTCTGATCTTTGATGAGGGATCAAGGGAGAACTAAACAGAAGAGAAAATCTCATAGCACCAAACAATCTAGAATTATTCTGTATGAACTCAATTTCTTTCTACATAAAAAGAGTTGTACTGTTTTTTTCTCATTATAAAAGAGCACATTTATTTTTTTTTAAGCAGTCAATGCAAAAAGGTAGTGAAAAAAATCACTCATAATACCAGCATTCAGGTAATATTTTGGTTTATGCTTTTCAGGTATTCTCTCTCCTGTCACCTTATATTAAGACCCCCTTCTCCCGCTACCCCCTGCCATCTGACAACTACCACTCTGCTGTTTGTGTTCATGAGTTTCAGTTTACATCAGTTTTATGAAGTGAAATCATATGGTTCTTAGCTTTTTCTGTCTGACTTATTTCCCTTAGCATAATATTGTCAAGGTCCATCTGTGTTGGTGCAAATGACATATTTCAAGAGAGAATCAGCCATTGGCTGCCTCTTACATGCCCCCTACTGGGGATTGAGCCCACAACCCAGGCAAGTGCCCTGACCAGGAATCTAACCAGTGACCTTTCGGTCCATAGGACATCACTCAACCAACTGAGCCATTCTGGCTGGGACCTGTGTCATTTTTTTCTTTTATCTTACTTAACAAAAACATGGATTCATGCTATATACACAGTGCTTTGTGGACCACTTACTCACTTTACAGTAGATCAAAAACTGTTTCAAATCAGTCATTGTTTCATACCAATGCCCATGACTCAGAACTTCCACACTTTAATTCTTTTTTCTATGGAAATAAATTAGACATGCCACCAGGCTTATGTACAAGGTAGATATCTCCACTGCTGTTTATGGCGGTACTGTCCAATATGGTAGCCATTAACCACATGTTGCTATTCAAAAGGAAAGTAATCAAGCCCAGCCAGCGTGGCTCAGGGGTTGAGCATTGACTTATGAACCAGGAGGTCACGGTTTGATTCCTGGTCAGGGCACATGCCCGGGTTGTGGGCTTGATCTCCAGTGTGGGGCCTGCAGGAGGCAGCCAGTCAATGACTCTCTCTCATCATTGATGTTTCTCTCTCCCTCGTCATTCCTCTCTGAAATCAATAAAAATATATTTTAAAATAATAAAAATTAAAAAAATAAAATGGAAAGTAATTAAAACTAGACAAAATTTATTTATTTTTATTTATTAAATTGTTTGGGGTGACATTGGTCAACATGAACATAATAGTTTCATGTATGGGTTTCTTTGTTACAGATCTGTATATTGCACCATGTGCCCACCACTCCAAGTCAAATCTTCTCCTGTCACCTTATATTAAGACCCCCTTCTCCCGCTACCCCCTGCCCTCCTGCCACTCCCTACCCACTGCCCTCTGGCAGCCTGCTGTTTGTGTTCATGAGGTTCGGTTTTATATCCCACAGGAGTGAAATCGTATGGTTCTTAGCTTTTTCTGACTGAATTATTTCACTTAGCATAATGTTCTCAAGGTCCATCAACATGCATGTTGTTGCAAATGGCGCTATTTCATCCTTTCTTATGGCTGAGTAGTATTCCATGGTGTATGTGTAGCACATCTTCTTTATCCAGTCCTCTATCGCGGGACACGTTGGTTGTTCCAATGTCTTAGCCTCTGTGAATAATGCTGCAATGAACATAGGGGTATATATATCTTTGTAAACACATGATTTCGAGTTTTGGGGTATATACCCAGGAGAGGGAAATTTTTAAATCTAGTTTTTCATATAGTGAGCACATTTTAAGTGCTCAATTGCCACATGTACCTGGTGGCTACTACATTGAACAATACAGAAATAATTATTTCCGTCAGAAAATTCCACTGGACAGCACTGGTTTATAGGAATAAAGCAGTGTAAATAACCTAGATACTCCACAAGAGGAAAATATCTAAAATAAATTATTTAGTTATTCTTATGTTAAACTATTTAAATTTTACTTTCAAATGTTTGTGTTTTTAATAATTGTATGTTCATTTAATATGCAATGTAAACATTGTTGATAAAGATTAATGACAGGAGGAAATAGTCATGATATGCTATTCAATGCTTAAAGCCATTAAGAATGTGTTAAAAAATGAATGTATGTATAGAAAGTTGGACAGAAATATACCAAAATGTTACCTGGAATAAATAAAACAGACTGCATCATAAAATAGGATTTACTGGTTTTCTTCTCAAAAGAGGCATGACAGAAATATACCAAAATGTTACCTGGAATAAAACAGACTGCATCATAAAATAGGATATACTGGTTTTCTTCTCATTGTTTGGGGTGACATTGGTCAACATGAACATAATAGTTTCATGTATGGGTTTCTTTGTTACAGATCTGTATATTGCACCATGTGCCCACCACTCCAAGTCAAATCTTCTCCTGTCACCTTATATTAAGACCCCCTTCTCCCGCTACCCCCTGCCATCTGACAACTACCACTCTGCTGTTTGTGTTCATGAGTTTCAGTTTACATCAGTTTTATGAATGAAATCACATAGTTCTTAGCTTTTTCTGACTGACTTATTTCAGTGAGCACATTTTAAGTGCTCAATTGCCACATGTACCTGGTGGCTACTACATTGAACAATACAGAAATAATTATTTCCGTCAGAAAATTCCACTGGACAGCACTAGTTTATAGGAATAAAGCAGTGTAAATAACCTAGATACTCCACAAGAGGAAAATATCTAAAATAAATTATTTAGTTATTCTTATGTTAAACTATTTAAATTTTACTTTCAAATGTTTGTGTTTTTAATAATTGTATGTTCATTTAATATGCAATGTAAACATTGTTGATAAAGATTAATGACAGGAGGAAATAGTCATGATATGCTATTCAATGCTTAAAGCCATTAAGAATGTGTTAAAAAATGAATGTATGTATAGAAAGTTGGACAGAAATATACCAAAATGTTACCTGGAATAAAACAGACTGCATCATAAAATAGGATATACTGGTTTTCTTCTCAAAAGAGGCATGGGATACAATGGAAGGGAGAGTTTACTTGGAGAGAAATAATTTTAAGTAAAGCAAATAGCAAAAAAGGCCTACCCTATTAGTGAGATGGAAATGTGGCTGGTTGAATAACTGAATACAGAATGTAGATTTTAATGCATTGTCTACCTTGAGCTGGTTACAGTCTAGATTCATGTCTAGTAACATCTCTGTGATGTTACTCCAAAGGGCATAGTTAGGACAAAGACAAGGATAAAGATTTCTCGTGACAAGAATAGGGAAATCCTCACCCTTAAGACTACCTAACAATAGGACTAGCTGTCTCATGAATTAATGAGGACCCTAAATGATGGAAATCCAACTCTTTGGCTTCATGAAAAGAAAATTTAATTGCCTCATGTAACTGAAAAGTCCAGGGTTAGGGATGGTCTGGCTTCATGTATGTGAAGTCTACCACTAGTGTGAGGAGGAGTCTATTACTCCCCACCTCACAGCTCTGACTTTCCATATTTTCATTTTAAACAAGTGGTTCCTTTATAAGAGCAAGATGGCTAGCACAGCTCCAACCTCACATCCTCACAGAACAACAATCCCAGTGGGAAGAGAACCTCTTTCTCCTAATGGTTCTAGCATTGAATCTAATTGGCCTGTCTTGAGTCATGTTCTTCTCCCTGAACCAATCACTGTAGCCCAGGAGGTGGAAGTCCCTAAAGACCCCCACTTGGGCCAAATGTGCTGAGAGTGGAAGAGGTGTGGGTTCTCCAAAGGAAAACTAAGGCGTCGTTACCAGAAGGTGTTGAGTAGGCCAAAACCACGGTGTTCATTATAGGTTTCAACCCTGTATGTTCTAGCAGTGGCCATAAAAATATGGACGGAACTTCTGCAATTAACGGAGTAAGAGGCTGAACCTGAGATCTCAGATAGTATTCTTTGTTTTCCTGAGAGTCTAGAAATAAAATCCATGTCAAATCATCTTTCTAGCAGTGTCAATATTAGGAAATTCCTATTGTGATATTTTTGGTGAAATGTAAACATTTTTAGTAGAAATTTGATAATATCTTTCAGGAAATAAAATTATATTTTTCCCTTCCTCCCTCAAGAAAACTTGGATGAAACAATTGCTCTTCAGACCAAGAACAAGCTAGAAAAAAATGTTACTGACAATAAAAGCAAGCTTTTCTCAGGTATGATTTATTTAACAATTTTTCTAGCTTTTAGCACAATCCTTTTGAATGTTAAATAATGAGCTTCAGTTAGCATTGATAAAGCATTATAGATTTTTTTAAAGTTTTAAAGTCTGAAATCCAACCATAGGATTAAAGAGCTACAACCTTGGTTATTTTGTGGCCAGCCTCAGCACAGAAATCTGATCCCGAGAAGCCTTAAAAATCAATGTACACCTTTACTTAAGATTCTTAGGAGGTGGTCATGGCCCCAAACAACTGCCATCGTCCCAAATTCTTAAGTGCTATTCTGAGTAATAAGCTGTTCTTCAAATATACAACAAAGGAGAGATTGGGCAACTACAGACTTATTTGCATTTTGAATCAAGACTCAAATTTACGTTGGGACCTGACATATCCCACTTAATTGCCTACATTACTTAAAGTAAGGAAAATAATCCATGGCTCTAATGACACAGTGTGGCAGAAGAGAAAGAACATTAAACCAAAACCCAGAGAGCTGGGAGGTTGGCCCATCTCTTCTGCTAACTCAATGGGTGACCGTGGCACATCTCTCCCCTCTTTGGGCCTCAGTTTCCCCCTCTGTGAAATGGGAGGAGGGAGATGGAGTAGATAATCACTAAGATCTTTTTCAGCTAAAAAAAAGAAATTACCTAAACTCAAACTGTACTTTTTTAATAGTTTATTTCTACATTAGGAATTGATTAATGGACAGCGAGTAGGGTTATAACAACAGTGCACAATCTGATTACAGCGCCATCAATGAAGAGTCATGAGGAAACAGACAGCACCAAGGAAGAAGCAGCTAAGATGGAAAAGGAATATGGAACCTTGAAGGATTCCACAAAAGATGATAACCCCAGAGGAAAAACAGATGAGCCAAAAGGTATGGAATTGACAACTCTAGGTTGGCAATGAAATTGGGGAAGCAAAAACTTTCAACACACCTGGAAGGGTGATCCATAAATCAAATCCCACCAAATAAGAGAAATGAACACATTCTGTATAGAAAAGATTGAGCAATCATTTCTTCTAATGTTCTTGAGTGTCCTGGGATTGCAAATTGGTTTTATCTTTTTGATGGTCTTTATTGTTTCAATTTAAATTCTTTATAGTTTAAAGTATTACATAAGTCTCCTTTTCCCCTCCTTGTCCTCTTCTCAGCCGCTCCCACCCCCCAGCACATGCCCTCATCCCCCTACTGTCTGCGTCCATTGGTTATGCTCATATGCATGCATACGAGTCCTTTGGTTGATCTCTTACACCCCACCTTCCCTGCCTTCCCTCTTTGGTTGGATGGTCTATTTGATGCTTTTATGTCTCTGGCTCTGTTTTTGTTCATCAGTTTATGTTGTTCATCATATTCCACAAATGAGTGAGATTATGTGATATTTATCTTTCTCCGACTGGCTTATTTCATTTAGCATT